ACATTTAGGAGAAAGGGTGAAATTCCTCTTCAGTCCTGGAGGGATACTTGTGTTGTCAGCATGATTTCCACAATTCACAATTCAACAATGGTTGCTATTCCATGGAGAAATGAAGTATAGAAAAAACCTATTTGTATTTTACAGTATAATATGTTCATGAAAGGTGTTGATAGGGCAGATCAGTACTTGTCTTATTATTCTCTCTTGAGAAAAACAGTGAAGTGGCCAAATAAAGTTACATTTTGGCTTATAAATTGTGCACTTTTCAATTCTTTTAGAATCTATTAAAAACTAAACCCTACATCAAAAATGAGATATGAAGAATTTCTGCTACAAGTGGCAAAAGGCTGGGCTACAGATAAGGTGGAGACAGACACAGATGCAGCACGCCCAGGAACATCAACCCAAACCTCTCGTGTGCCTCATGAGGACCCCCCTGGGAGACTTTTGGATGATATGCGCAAACACGTACTAGAGAACATTGTTGGAAGTGAACGGGGTAAAAGAAAATATCCTGCTAGGAAGTGTCATGTTGGTGCAGCCCACAAAAAAAGAAGTGAAACTTGGTACATGTGCAAGTTCTGCTTAATGCCACTCCACAAGGGGGAATGTTTCCAGAGGTATCACACCCTCAAGCACTACTAGGGTCTTTGGTGAGTATTTCCTGAAAATTTCAGTTCACAAAAATAGTTAGCAAATTTGTTATAAATTTTTAAAGAAACATAGTATAAAAGTTGATTTCAATGGTTTAAACCTCGGGAACATGCATTTAAACCATTTAAATGCCCCGTCCTCAATGGGTTAATCAACATTTTCTGTAATAATCAAAGATTAAATTATTACCTTTCGGACATTAATGCCTGTAGTTTTTTCCCCTTGGGCATGCCGGTTTCTTAGTTCTGTTACTGTAGAAATGGGATTCAGGCCAGCATTTTCAGCTAGTGTAGATGGAATGACTTCCATAGCATCTGCAAAAGCACGAACGCAGTAGGATTCCATACCACTTAATGTTCGTGAATATTCAGTTAACCGTAGGGCCAACTCTATTTCTGGAGCACCACCTCCTGCAATAAGAGCTCTGAAATTCAAAAACGTAGTTTTAGCTTATTTTATCCAAGAGAAAGCCACTTTAAATAATTTACTTTTAAAAATAGTCAAAATATAGCAGTTTGATATTCTAAATGTTACTGAGTAATTTATATTACCTCTTCTTCACTAAACAGCGAATGACACACAGGGCATCATGAATGGAGCGCTCAGCTTCTTCAATCACCAATTTGTTAGATCCACGAACAACAATTGTAACTGTTTTTCCAGGGCTTGTACAGCCTGTAATCTTTAGTAAACAAATTCCAAATTAGGTATTTGGAGTTAAAATAAACAAACAAAAAACCCAGGCAAATAAAGCTTAATTCTAATCCTGTTACCTTGAGCAGTTTCCCAGAACCACTTAAATTGACCTCCTCAGCTAACTCAGCTGATCCCAGCATGTCGGCAGTGAATTGGTCAATATGAGCAACTGGTTTGGTTCCAATTGTCTGGGAAAAATAGTCAAATCCACAAATTAAGACATTTGATTATTGGTCATTGTCACACATGTAGATATTAGGAATATTTTACCTTACAAATGAATTCAATGTCTTCTCTTTCAATATCCTTAACCACCATAATCTTCATTTTGTTCAGGAAATGTAATGCAAGATCACTAAGTGCATCTCTAAAATACAAAATCAGTGTTTATGCCAATGCTAGGATTAAAAACATTTTGCTGTTTAACTGCTTTTTAAGATTTTCATTATTTTACTGTTGTTTAACCCTCCGTCGGGCACAACTGATCTCACAGATTGTTTTGAATTTCTGTTGATTTTTATACTGAATTTATGTAATAAACATATAGTTTTTACTTTGTGGCAAATTAAAATTTCATTCTGAATAAATAATAAGCATGCTTACACGTTATTTTCATTTTAAATAAATAAATGNTCTGCCGGCCCCTATAAGGGAACTATTAATTGTCTGTTTTTACAACTGAGGAAACAAAAGTACAGACTATGTAACTTGCCCAAAATCAGTCAATAATTGGCAGTTAATGAACAAACAGTACTTCACTTAAGGCATCTTCTTCTTTTTCATTCAAAGAACCTGCAGGTCTCATATTTAAATCCAAGATTACTTTTAATTACAAAGCTTTTCATTCAACAGAGAATTATAAAGCTTTAAAAATTTTTAGATTAACGTATTATGGAGTGGTGACGCAGATTTGCATCTATACATTACAGCTGTGCAAGATGAATGAAGCAAATCTGCGTTTTTAACATGCGCTTGCTTTCCACACACTATACACTTAACTACACAATACTTGGAGCCTTTCTCTGAATGGTCCTGCTGACAAATGTTTACAGAAACGTGACCTCACTCGAAGTTAGTAATCTGTGATAAATATAGAGAACAAACAGCTCTGTATTTTCCTCTGTTGCTCTGCTCTGCATTTAGTCAGCATTCAGATTTCAATCACTTTACACCCATGACGGAAAGATGTAGTTCTTATGGGAAAAATTATCTTACAGAAGATGCAATTTCAGAATTGTTGGCGGACACATTATCTGATGTTCCTGACAACGCTGATAGTGACAGTGAAAATAACAGTGACTCTTCCATTATTGGAAATAGGCAAAACAAAATTGTGCATCCTTTACTGAGTTACAGTGACAGTGAACAAAGTGCAAACGAAAGTAACGATGACACACTAGACTCGGCGGTTTCCACATGGGTAAAAACAGATAAAACACCAAATTTAGGGCCCTTTACTGGAAACCCAGGGATGAAACAAATTCCCTCTGACCCGACGAAAGTATCACAAGTAACAGGATGCTTTCTTGGAGACAGATT